AAAAGGTATTATGTTATATGAGGAGGCTTCAAAAAAATTCTTCAAAATATATAACTGAAAGATAACGGAATTTTTCCATGAATTTTTGGAACCCCCCTTGTATAAGAATCCCTGGTGATACAATGGTTAAATGCTTGACTGCTGACTGATACGTTGGCAGTTTGAACCCTACCCCCCCACCCCCAGCTCTGCTGGAAGAGACCTGGTGAGCTGCTCCCATAAAGATTACAAACCTCCAGAACCCTCTGAGACAGTTCTCCTCTGACACACAGTGTCACCATGAGCTGAAATCTACTCAACAGCACCTAACAACAACAGTGTATGATATACACTGTTTTACACTTTTTTTCACTTACTCATCCAGAGGTTTTAAGATCATTTTACTCATTAATTATCTGAGTGCCTCTGTATGCAAAGTACTGTGCTAACTTTTGGTAAGTAGACAAAGAAATGTAAAGAACAGACATCTCTGTCCTCAGAGGATTTGCAAGTTGTGAACACAAACCACGGTGTTTAATGACCTGGTACTTTCTTGGCAGACTCGGGCTTCAGTACATAAAACACTTCTAGCCTGCTGAGGGCAGAAAACACTGAACTTGACTTTTGAGGCCAAGGTTACAGAGCTACTTCCTTCTAAGTCTCTTGAACATAAGATCTATATTGTTATTTCTCTGAATATCATCCACTGACCCTATGATGTGTTTTAAATACAGGCTTTGAGGCAACCTGTGTCTTATTCATGAGCACAAAGGAAAGATTTTTAGAATCATCTTGATTTTATGCGTCATCCTTATCTCTGAGGGGTCTGGCAATTGGCATCCCTGATTTGCATAAATTATTAATGCTCTTGGCTGCTAACCAGTAAGTTGACTTGAAATAAAAAATTTTGTGTATCTAATAGAGAACTGGACTCCTGCTTTGGTACTGTAGGACAAGCACTGAACTGTGAACCGCAAGGTCAGCACTTCAAACCCACCAGCTGCTCTTTGTAAACCCTTTGTAGGATCACTCTGAGTCAGAAACGACTCAACGGCACTTAACAACAGCAACAACAATATTGAACTAAGGAGTCCAGGTATGGCACTGTGGGATAAGCTCTGGAGTGCTAACCTCAAGGTCAACAGTTCAAACCAACCATTCGCTCCTTAGAAACCCTATATAAAGTCGCTATGAGTTGGAAGTGACTCGACAGCACTTAACAACTACACTATAGAACTAAAGGACAAGGACTTGTTTATAGAAGGGTTGTTTTGGGAGGGTGGTCTTATTCCTTCCTCAGAGACATTTTCCTACACTTACACTGTTACCCCAAAAGGAGCCCTGGTACTGTAGTGGGTTACAAGTTGGACTGCTTACAAAGTCAGAAGTTTGAATCTACCAGTCACTCTGTGGGAGAAAAATGAGACTTTCTGCTCCTGTCAAAATTTACAGCTTCAGAAACCCTGTACAGGGTTGCTATGAGTCAGAACCGACTTCACAACATACCACCACCACCACCATTATTACCCCTGGGCAGAAAACGGAAAAGAATCATTGGAAGTATATCCCAACAACAGTATAATATTTTAGGTCTGTGGGCAAGTTGTTGTTGTTAAATGCTTTCGAGTCGGTTCCAACTCACAGTGACCCTGTATAAAGTTTCCAAGAGTGGCTGGTGGATTTGAACCACTAACTTGTGACTAGCAGCCCAGTGCTTATCCTACAGTGCTATACCAGGACTCCGTGGGCAAGTTACCTTCAATTTATTTGTTTTTGGTCTCAGTTTCTATTTAATTACAACTTAATTCTATTAAAGGACATCTTTGTTCAGAATTCCTCCAATAGTTCTGGAAATTCCAGAGGCTGTGTGTAGGAAGCATAGTGAAGTGGTTCAAAGAGTAGACTAGAGCTAGCCTGCCAGAGTTGAATTTCTGAGTCTGTCACTTTCTAGTTATGACGAATTACTGAACTTCTGTTTCCATTGTCACAAAGATACTACAAATATTAGAAGTTTATTGATTGATTTTGTTTGTTTCCCCACTGAGCTTTATAGCCAAGGACAAGAACTAAAAGAGAAACTCTAGCATCTTATGTTTTTCTAGCAGTACCTGAGTGCTGAAAATAGTTAACACTAATGCTGCTAACCAAAAGATTGGAGGTTAGATTCTACCCAGATAAATCTTGGATGAAAAGACTGGTAATCTACTTTAAAAAAAATCAGCCACTGAAAATCCTAGAGAGCACAATTCTACTCCGACACACACAGGGTCGCCATGAGCCGGAATCCACTAGATGACAAATGGTTTGGTTTTTTGTTTGCTTCTCTAAGAATTTTTCATCAAAGACTGTATCATGTATTACACATGTAATATGCACATATTATGTACAAATAACACATGCTAGGTAAGCATCTCAGAGCTTAGTATAATGCCAGGAATATGCTTCTTTGGAAAAAGATGAATTCCAAAGGAAAAAAGCCAGAGTTAAAGATCACACAATTTTGCCTCTTTCACAATCCAGGGATTGCTTCATCAAACCAGTGAATAATGCATCTTATCGTAGGGTAAGCACTCGACCTCAAAGGCGGTTTAAACAGCAGGGTTGGTGGCTCAAAATCACTAGCTGCTCCTCAGAAATCCTACACAGGGTTGCTATGAGTCAGAATTGACTTGATGGCACACAACAACAATGGATAACAATAGGGAGCATAAACTTTATGCAGAAGCTAAAGTGCATGTTTTTAAGAAGGATAATAAAAATATGGGATATTTTCTATATGTTGTTATTGTTGTTAGGTGCCATGAAGTTGGTACCAACTCAGCAACCTTATGCACAGCAGAATGAAACACTGCCCAATCCTGGGCAAACCTCACTACTATTGCCATGCTTAAGCCCATTGACGCTGCCACTTTGCCAATCCAACTTACTGGGGGTCTTCCTGTTTTTCTCTGACCCTCCACCCTACCAAACATGATATCCATTTCCAGTGATTGGTCCCTCCTGACAATATGTCCGAAGTATGAGAGACGAAGTTTGGCCATCTTGGCCTCTAAGGACGACTCTGGCTGCACTTCATCCAAAATGGATCTATTGGTTCTTTTGGCAGCCCATGGCACTTTGAGTATTCTCCTCCAACCCCATAACTCAAAAGCATCAATTCTACAGTTGTCCTTATTCACTGTGCAGCTTTGGCATGCATATGAGGTTATTGAAAATACCATGGCTTAGGTTAGGTGCACCTTAGTCTTCAAGCTGACATCTTTGCTCTTAAACACTTTGAAAAGGTCTTGTGCAGCAGATTTGCCTAATGAAATACATCGTTTGATTTCTTGACTGCTGCTTCCGTGAGTGTTGATAGTTGATCCAAGAAGAATCAAGTCCTTGACAACTTCAGTCTTTTCTCCATTGATAAGAATGTTGATTATTGGTCCAGTGGTGAGGATTTTCTTTTTCTTTACATTGAGACGCAATCCATACCGAAGGCTGTGCTCTTTGATCTTCATCAGTAAATATTTTAAGTCTTCACTTTCAGCAAGCAAGGCTATATCATCTGCATATCACAGGTTGTTAATGAGTCTTCCTCCAATCATGATGCCACGTTTTTCTTCATATAACCCAGCTTCTCAGGTTCTTTGTTCAGCATACAGGTTGAATAAGTATGGTGAAAGAATACAACCCTGTCACACACCTTTCTTAATTTTAAACTATTCAGTGGTCCCATGTTCTGTTCGAACAGCTGCCTCTTGGTCCAGGTACAGATTCCTCATGAGCACAATCAAGTGTTCCGGAATACTTATACTTCACAATGTTGTCCATAGCTTGTCATGATCCACACAATCAAAAGCTTTTGCGTAGTCAGTAAAGCACAGGTAAACATCCTTCTGATATTCTCTGCTTTCAGCCAAGGTCCATTGAACATCAGCAATGATATCCCTTGTTCCACGTCCTCTTCTGAATCTGGCCTCTGAAAGTTCTTTGTCAATGTATGCTTGTAGCCGTTTCTGTGTTACTTTAGTAAAACCTTACTTGCATGGGATATCAAAGGTACCGTTCGATGATTTCCACATTCCGTTGGGTCATGTCTCTTTGGAATGGGCACAAAGGCTCGCTAGTCCCAAACATGGGAGTCCTGGTGTGGTCCTATAAGATAAGCACTAGACTGCAAGGTCAGTTTGAATCACAAGGGTTGACGGTTCAAACCCACCATCTGCTCCTTATTGTCGAGTGCACTGAGTTGGTTCCAACCCATAGCAACCTTGTATAGGGTTTCTGAAGAGCAGCTGGTAAGCTTGAACTGCTGACCTTGATTCAAACCGATTTTGCAGTCCAGTGCCTTTACCCACATCACCACACCAGGACTCCTTGGAAACCCTATATAAAGGATTGCTGTGAGTCAGAATTGACTTGATGGCACTTAACAATAGCACCAACAATCACAAACTTAACCACACAAGTGCATTTCCATTTATTAAATAACGAATCACAATGGAGCATGGGTGTTCTATTAGCCTCCTGCCCTTGGCTGCCAAACTTGACTCTGAACAATGCTTTATGACAGCCCTTATCTTTGAAAACTTGTCACTGTCACAAGTCTAGAGTCTCTTTTTTGAGGTACATTGTTGGGAACAGGGTTGTAGTTTGTTGCTAATTGCCTTGAGTCAGAATCTACTTATGGTGACCTTATATAGGTTTCCCAAGGAGCAGACGGTGGGTTTAAACTTAAAGCGCCTGTCTTGTAGTTAGCAGTCCAGAGCTGCTCCTATAACCTCAGCACAGGATAGGCTTATTTTTGTGGCAGTCTTTTCTGTTGTAGGTGTCCAGTATTGCTGTTGCAGAGAGGAGAGAGACGCACCCTGTTGCTCTTTGTGGGGTGTGGAGATGGGTAGAGAACAAGGCCTGTCTGATGGTGCTGTGCCTCTGGAGACCTGTTATGCAAAGGCTGCAGGAAAGGGGAGTTGCCTTGCTTTAGGGTCTTGTGGAGGTTTTCTTTGTATTGTAATCATTCTGATCTGTTCTTTTAGACTCTTTATTGAGAAACTACCTAAGCATCGAGATTACAAATCAGCTGTCATTCCTGAAAAGAAAGACACATTAAAGGTAAGTGTACTTTCTTGTTGCCCACCTAAAAGTTTCAAAGCCATACAGATTAAAATGGGTAGCTAAAGTCACATAGACTAACTGACTAAAATACAGTTGTCTCTATAGTTTAGCATCAAATCTTGCATTAGGTGATACTTGAGACTTCAAAAAAGTTTGTGAAAAATGCATAATAGAATTTTTCCAGAACGTTTTGAAGCCTCTTAATATCTTGGGCCACTTCACTAGAGCCATTATGAAGTAGCTGTTAGGGTACAGAGAAATCACCTTTGAAACCTTGTCGACATTGCCAAGTTGACATGAGTTATCTTTTCTACTTAACTGGCTGCTGCTGTTCTCATTTTCATTATTTTGTTATGTATCTTAGAAATTAAAGGAGATTGCATTTCCCAGAGCAGAAGAGCTGAAGGCAGAGTTGTTAAAACGATATACCAAAGAATATGCAGAATATAATGAAGAAAAGGTCAGTATTTGACAGCAAAGGAAAATAAATTCTTGTGATCTCTTAGACTCTGCCCTGTGATTTTACTGTGATGGTTCAGCATCTCTTACAGTTCCTTCACCTGATGGTGAAGGCTCAAAACTCAAACATAGCACACAGCTGAGGATTGTAACACAAATTTAGCCTACTTGTCTAGAAAGGTATTTGTGAGACAGAAAATCTAGAGCTTCTCTGCGTATCTAGAGTAAGAACCTAAGAACAGAGGAAAAGTCTGACCAAAAGTTAGGTTTTCAAAGCAGAGAATTTGGGGGTTTGATTCACACTTGGTTAAACCTGAAGCTGCTTACAATAATTGATTTCTCCCAGCTGCTTTATAATGATTCCTGTTGGGAAGAGTTAGAGTTAAGGCAGGTGGAGAAACTCCAAGGGCACTCTCAGTGTGTTTACATCCAGTGTGAGTACCTTCTGTGAGTACTTACACACTGTACAGTAGCTGTGTGCTGAGCCCTTTTCAGACTCTGATGTTGGATATCAGTAGGAAGTGAGCAGCTATGAGGCATCCATCGCGTAAGTGAGAACCTAACAAAGGAGATGGCTACTTGATATACGATGACCAGGGGGAAAAAAGAGAAACATCATTTTGGGCTAAAATGCAATAGAGATCTCCAATAGGATGGCTTGTTGTTGTTGTTGTTGTTAAGTGCCGTCGAGTCTATTCTGACCCATAGCGACCCTGTGCAGGGTTTCCGGGGCTGTAAATCTTTACGGGAGCAGAAAGCCTCATCTTTCTCCCGTGGAGTATAGGCTTAGATTTAGTTCCAACTTACAGCTTGATGCGGGATACAGAATATATACATGGCACAGCTGAGCAAATGAAACTGTATGATACAGGTTACGGAGGACAGACCCCAAGACACACTGAGAGTTCAGTAGAGAAGAAAACACATTGATTAGAGCCCTTGAAGACCAGGTCTGTGTCTAGATAGAACAGAGTGCCAAGGGTAGAGGCACTAGGGGTAGCATGAACTCACTGTTGGGTAGTCAGGCCAGAGGAGAAATACACTTTGGAAATCTCCCTGCTGAAAATTCTTGTTCTCCCGAGGTGTTAAATCAGTGGTAGCCTAAGTCCTTTTTGTCTTTGTAGAAGAAGGAAGAGGAGGAGTTTGCCCAGACCATGGCCATCAAGCAAGAGCTGGAAAAGGAAAGGCAGAGGGTAGCACAGCAGAAGCAGCAGCAATTGGAACAAGAACAATTCCATGCCTTTGAGAAGATGATCCGGAACCAGGAGCTAGAAAAAGAGCGACTGAAAATTGTACAGGAATTTGGAAAGGTGGACCCTGGCCTAGGTGGCCCACTGGTGCCTGATTTGGAAAAGCCCTCCTTAGATGTGCCCCCCACCACACCTGCCTCATCCACACAGCCTTCAGACTGTAATACAAGTGTAAGGCCAGCTAAGCCACCTATGGTGGACAGGTCCTTGAAACCTGGAGTACTGAGCAACTCAGAAAGTAGTAAGTCCATGTGTTGGCATCTTCTTCCATCTCAGTTGCAGCCAGAGTATCCTCCTGGGGGATTCATCCTCTTGTTATCTTCGTGATTCCATTATTAGGCCATGGACACAGAAGCCCATTTGATGAGTATTACTGTAATGTGTCCTATCACACTGGCTATATTATAATACAGAGTGAGTAGGAAGTGGCCTTGGCTTTAAGCATTTAATTTATGTGGCATCAGGTCATGTTCTGAAGAGTTAATTCACCCTTGAAAACCAGACCCTTAACTTTTAAGAGTTCTACAGAGATTTGAAATGCTCACTCAATGGGAGACCACTATTGGTATTACAGAAAATAAATGGAAATTTAGTACTACTTTGCAACTCAACCACTGACCTTTCAAACAATAAACAAGGCCTATTCAATTGTGCTTGCCTTGAAAGCATTCCCAATCCTTAAGGAACTTAGTCAAGGTAAGCACTGTATATGATCAGTGATGATTCAGCACAGAAATCTATTCATAATCTTTCCTCCTCTCACCAACAACCTGTTATCTGAGGAAATGATAGTAGGGCAGATGATGAGTATACCTAGATTATTAGAATAGATTTTGTGGGCTAGGAACTTACTTTCAAGTAATCATTTGAGGAAAGTCAGCTTTGCCAAAGATCCATGTAAAATCATGTCAGCATGGGTAAGGCGAGCTAGACTCTGAAGCCTGGCCTAGAGGGCTTTTCTCTTCCTGCTCTTTCTTCATACATATGCTCTGCCCTGGGCCAAATTGGACTGTTGTGTTCCCAGAGCATTTCTTGGAACATCTTTTCTAAGGAAGGTTTGTTAACATTCTCTGCTTTGCCTACTTTTTTTTTTGAGGTTTTTCTACGTCACCTTCTCTTTAATCAAATTGATTCTGTTCTTCTTAACTCCCTGAGATCTCTTTATCTCTATTGTCATTAAATTCATTCATCTGGTAGAATAGTCATTTTGTCTATAACTAGATTTTCACTTCTTGTGGGTTAGATCCTGAATCTTTTAACACTTCTGTTCCTTGTGGGTTGAGCACAGTCTAGTTGGTATGCTCTCAGTAAATGATTATCTAATTGAAAGGAAAGGAGTGTGCCAAACCTTAATTCAGAATCCTCACGCCATCATTCAGCCTGCCACGTGACTATGTGTCTTTTGGTCTGACTTTGTTACCTCTTCAGGAATTCAGTCCTTGCTGTTGAATGTGCAGGAGCAGATTGGCATCATTCCTGGTTACTATATATTTTTTAATATTAAATGTGACTGAAAAAATATGCTTCCTCACTCAGAGTTCAGTCTACTGTCTCTCAAAGTTTCTCTGTGATGTTTGGGGACTGGGCTCCATTCTTAGAATTCTGATGCAGGTTGTGTGAGCTGCTTTATCCATCTTTTTTTTAGACCAGATTATGGTTTTTTGTTGTTTTGTTTTCTTGGCACTTTATTGTTTCTTCCAAATGACTACGCTTGGAAGTATGAGGGCCTTCCAAAGGTTCATGGAAAAATGGAATTAAAAGATAAAAAACTTAAAATATAAATTTTATTTCTCAACATAAGCTGCTCCATCAAGGTCAAGACACTTTTGTAAGCAATGATACCAGCCATTTAGGGCATTTCGAAAGAACTGAGGGTCCTGGGTATTTAACTGTGTTAATGCAGTCTTGTTTACATTATTAATTGGGAAAAAAAATCAGTGCCCTTTAAAGTTATTTCTTTAGGAAATTAAAAGAAGTCAAAAGGAGCCAAACAGGAGTGGAAAATGAGTGCCTAATAATTTCCATGGAAACTCTCAAAAAATTGCCCTTGTTTGATGGGAGGAATGAGCCAGAGCATGGTTGTGGTGGAGGACTCTCTGGTGAAGCGTTCTTGGGCTTTTTCTGCTAAAGCTTTGACTGACTTTCTCAAAATACTCATAATAAGCAGATGTTTTCATTCTTGGCCCTCCAGAAAGTCAACACACAAAATGCCTTGAGTGTTCTGAAAAACTTGCCATGCCCTTTGCTCTTGACTAGTTTCCTGCTTCATTCATCTGGACGACTTTCACCTCTTGATAGCAATTGCTTTGATGGTGCTTTACCTTCAAGGTTCTAATGGTTTTTTGTAATTCATTTTTAAGTTTTATTGTGAATTAAGTGATAGTTTACATGGGAGAGCATTAGCTTTATATTCCTCCTATCCTATTTCATGTCATTGCAATGATTACAATCCCCTCTGTGCATCATCAAATAATCAAAGGGTTGTCAGCACATAAAACCACTTCCTCCTTGAGTCCAAGCCACTCCATCTCTCCACATCATTATCTCTACCTCCATCTCTGGCGTCACTGCTGCTCTTGATAGGGTCCTGCACTCCGCTCTTCTACCTTAATGGTCCCAGGGACCTCCGCTCCTGGACTGCAAAATCAACCACTCCCCTCCTTTTGTTACAAAACTTCTACCTTTACATTTGCAACACTCATAGTCCTGATAGCAGTTACTCATTTTGAACAACAAGAGTCTTATCCCCATCTCCTTTCATCAGCTCCATTGAGGCAGGTTAGAAACCACTCAGTGGAGATTCTACCTTCCCCTGCACCCTCTGAAACTAGACTCCTTCTTGAAAGCTTGTAAGTCAGTTACTTCATGCCTTTGCAGCCCCGCCATTTTGGGTAGCCAATGTCTAAGTTGCCCATTCCTGTCAACCCTGTGTACCAAGGGGATGAGAATGATCCTTGCTGTAAAGATTTGTTTCCTCTTTTGAGACACTATATCCGTAAGTATATGTCAAGTTCATCAAATTATAGTGGATTACTCTTTTTCCCCCTCTTCTAGTGGAGTTCTGATCATCTAGCCATTGAAGCCAGGTCAAATTGGTACTATCTGCAGGTATGGATGTTCTTGTGCATCTCCCCTCACTTCATATCAGCTGGACACTTTACTCTCTGCTCTAGTCCTCTGTAGCCATGTCCCTGTTTTCAGGCCCAGGAGTCTCCAGGTCTTGCCATACTGCTGGCCAATCAGGTCTCAACCCATGTTGACAGGTGTCTATTGAGCTTGGTCGGACTTAGCTCACAACTTCATTGCTGTTTTTCCCCCACTTCCCCTTATCAGTGACCAACATGGTCACCAGCAAGACCACATGCCTGCTCACGTGTATTCCCCTTGAGTCTTAGTCTTGGAAGAGGGTTTGCCCTGAGGGGACCCGACCACTTGCCATGATGGCTCCTGGGCGAACAACTTGCTGGTTCTTGTAGTAGTCAATCAGACTGCCGCTATTGTTTATGATTTTTCCTGCTGGTCTTTCTTTCAAGAAGTATCTTCTGTTCTTCTAGCCTCTCTAGGCTGCTCTACTTGTCCTTTCAAGTGGAAATTTCCCCCTTGGAAGATTCTGGATGGGGATCAGGATTCCACCTGTGGTCTTATGCAATGCAAAGGCTCCACAGGAAGCCTCCTTCACTGGGCAAGTCTAGCCCCATTGTAGGTATTTCAATCAGTTATATGCTGAAGACAGACTTACAAGATTTCTATGGTGATGCTTCTGGCTATTCCTTTCTCTCCCCCTCAAGTGTCTATTTTACAGTAGTAGGCAAGGAAACCACAAGGTCAGCAGTTTGAAACTACCAGCTGTTCCATGGGAGAAAGATGAGGCTTTCTGCTCCCGTAAAGATATACAGCCTCAGAAACCCTATACAGGGTTGCTATGATTCAGAACCGACTCCATGGCACATAACCATCATCACCACCACCACCAGGCCAGGGAAACCAAGAATCAGAAGACAGCCAAACATCTTAACATTATTTCCCCTCTTTCACGCATTCAAACTGTGCCTCAATCCCTGTATCCCAGAGCCCTGTTGTTCCAAGGTTGAACGTACATCATCTAAATTTTTTTGTAATGTGAATTTTCCATGAACTTTATTTTCTATTATCAGTAGTATATCCTGATGCATGTCTTTGAAAGTTATATTCTCTAATATTCTTATCTGAGATAAAGAGAATGAAAATAAAAATAAAAGTTCATTTGAAAGGGGATGTTATTTTAAATTCTGACAGAATTCCTGAATATCACAAGAATTTTTTTTTAAGTAGTAATTTACCCTGTCTTAATTGGGATAATTAAGGAGCTCTGGTAACGTAGTGGTTACAAGGCAGGCTGCTAACCTCAAGGTCAGCAATTCAAAACTACCAGCTGTTACATGGGAGAAAGATGAGGCTTTCTGCTCCCGTAAAGATTTAACAGCTTTGAAAACTCTCTGTACGGGGTCGCTATGAGTCAGAAATTACTCCATGGCACTCTACCACCACCACCACCACCAACTGGGATAATTAAAGCCTGCTCTTTGCTTTGCTTGAAATCATGTGGTCAGAGGTTGGAGAAAAGACTACAGCCCCATTTCTTATGCCATTAGGCTAGATTAGCATTCACTGCCTGAAGTTGGGGGGCCCAGGGGGTTGTTGCTCTCCCAGGGCTGCTCAGTGCTCTCAGATTTTCCCCTTTCTCTATTACAGCTCTTATGATTGATGGACTGCGCCATGTGGTGGTGCCAGGGAGGCTCTGCCCACAGTTTCTCCAGTTAGCCAGTGCCAACACTGCCCGGGGAGTAGAGACATGTGGAATTCTCTGTGGAAAACTGGTAAAAACAAATTCTTTACTGAACTAAGACTGTTTCTTCCCTGTTGGCCTCCTCTGACTCTCCAGGAGGACAACCAGGGTCAGGTACTCTCTGTGCTGCTCCCCCTGCTGATTGGGCCATGGACTTCGCAGTGTGCTGACCCTAAATTTGGTGACCTTGTATTCAATTAGTTTTTCAGATTCCCTTGAATTGACCTGGTTTTCTAATGATGGTTGTTGTTAGGTGCCATCAAGTCTGTTCTGACTCTTAGCGATCCTGTATAGGTGTGTGAGGAGTGGCTGGTGGGTTTGAACCACCGACCTTATGAGTAACAGTCCATTACTTATGCTACAGTGCCACACTAGGACCCCATTCTAATGGTAGTAGTAAGAAATACTTAGCTCTAAATTGGGTAGACATATTCAGTGAATATCTATATATAATGTTTTAAGCATATATTCTATTGTAGTTGTTATTGTTAAGTGCTATTGTGTCAGTTTTGACTCCTAGTGACTCTATAGGGTTTTCAAGGAGCAGCTGCTGGGTTTGAATCATGATCCTTGTGGTTAACAGTCAGTGCTTACCCTAGAGTGCCACATCAGCACTCCACACTATTGTTGTTATTGTTGTTCTGCGCCATGGAGTAGGTTCCAACTCATCGCAACCCTATACAGAGTTTCCCGAAGCTGTAAACCTTTATGGGAGCAGAAAGCCTCATCTTTCTCCCACGGAACAGCTGGTCATTTTGAACTGCTGATCGTGAGATTAGCAGCCCAATTCATAACTGCTACACTATTGTAGTAGGACCTAGAAATCACTTTGAAAGATGGGAGGTAGATACCAAAAGATAACTAACCTGGTGAGTTGTATGTACAATATGAGCACTTGGAATTGAGAAGAAGGAATGATCTATTTTGAGACATTTGAGCCCATTAAGGAGCTCTGGCCACCACTCGTCTGTCAGTTTGTCATACTGAAAACTATGCCAC